CGCTGTTCCAGTTGCCTGTTGTTCAACACTCTGTTCTTCTTTTCCTTTTTCTTCTTTCCGTGGTGTCGTTCTGTATATGTAATCTTCACAGGCAATAAATGAATGCAATAACACTCTTCTGCTCCTGTTCCCAAACAACTGGTATGCTTATTTACTTACTTAGACAATCTCTCAGAGCTTGAGGATGATTGTCTTCCAGATGTATTCTTGTGGGTGGGTCTGTAGGTGGCCGTGGAGCCCTATTCTTGATCTGCATGTTCTCCCGCAGTGAGAACATCGGTTTTTAGATGGAAGGCAGTCCCAGTCAGGATTGCCTTGATGTGCTTTCCTCTTGGCACATTTCTCCCTTTTGCCCTCCGTTCATGCCTCTTTGAATTCTGCAGCACTGCTGGTCACAGCTGACCTCCAGTCAGAGCACTCAAAGGCCAGGGCTTCCCAGTTCTCAGTGTCTATGCCATAGTGTTTGAAGTTGGCTTTAAGCCCATCTTTGAATCTCTTTTCTTGTCCACCAACATTCCATTTTCCATTATTGAGTTTGGAGTAACTCCTTCAGGAGATGGTGATCGGGCATTCAGACAACATGGTCAGTTCAGCGGAGTAGATGGTGGAGGAGCATCGCTCCAATGCTGGTGGTCTTAGCTTCTTACAGGACACTGACATTTGTCCTCCTGTCTTCCCAAGAGATTTGCAGGATTTTTCAGAGGCAGCGCTGATGGAATCGTTCCAGGAGTTGCGTATGATGTCTGTAGAGGGGAAGATGGAAAAGGGAATTGTGTCACACATGCATTTCAAGAGAATTTGGTCTATGTGCCTCATTGCTAGAGTGAAATGAAATACAAGCCACAAAGTATATTTGTGGTAGTGGTGAGGAATTTTGTGTTTATTGCCTGTATAAGTATTTCATTTTATTTGAATGTGCTTGTGGGCAAGAAGGGCAAGAGGCTTCTCGCTTTACAATAATAATATTATATGGCTCAGCTATTAAAATGAAGAGTTTGCTTGCCTATCAAAAGAAAAGCACGTTATCAAAAGGTGGGTAAGTAAGGGATCAGATGCAGATAATTGCAGTGCCTTTTCGGTGCAAAAAGATCACTGTTAATACTTTAGTACTTAACTTCTGTATTGAATAATGTCTCTGCACTAAATTTGCTCTCTCTTACGTAGTTCAATTATTTGATCTATTTAAATTATTTGTTTTGTGTTAAATGGTTATTTGCAGCACTCTCATGCTCCTTCTACACTGCCATATAAAATCCAGATTATGGATTATCTGATTTGATAATTTGAATTATATGGCAGTGTAGACGGAGTCTCAGTTTCACACACCAGTCTCCAGCCCAAAGGGGAAAGGAAGCATCATGCACAGGAAGATCCTTACTGTTTAAAGGGAGAACCTGAAATAAGGGGATGGAGAATGCTTTCCGAGACAGATTCTAACCCTCTTTAGGCCAGATTAGACCATGAAGATCAAAGACCCCCTTTCCTGCCCATCACCCTGAAACTGAAGCATTAAAATAAAACTTTTTTTTTACAAAATTAGAAAAACTTTTAACAGCTCTCAAATTCAACATCAGCATATAACTGTTTTCAAGGTCTTGTGAGAAAAATTATTAAAGTAGATCTGTTTTTGGAAAGTGTATATTTGCTTAATGGCATTGATGGGATCCTTGGGGCTGTGAGGGCGACTGCCTGTGCTCTGGACCCTTGCCCTTCCTGACTAGTCAAACTGGCCAAGGATGGGTTGTTGGATTGGTTTGTTTCCATCATAAATGCATCGCTGAGTCAAGGGAAATTCCTGTCCTGCCTTAAGCAGGTGGTGGTAAAACCATTATTGAAAAAGATCTCCCTTGACCTCTCTATGCTAAATAATTACAGACCAATTTCCAACCTCCCTTTTTTGGGCAAGGTGCTGGAGCGGGTGGTTGCATCGCAGCTCCAGGGGTTCTTAGACGACACCAACTTTCTAGATTGATCACAGTCTGGTTTCAGATCCAGGCACAGTACCGAGATGGCTTTGGTTGCCTTGGTGGATGACCTCCGCAGGGAACTGGACAGCGGGAGTGTGACCCTGCTGGTTCTCTTGGATATCTCAGTGGCTTTCAATACCATCGATCATGGTATCCTTCTGGGACGGCTCTCCGGAATGGGACTTGGGGGCACGGTTTTACTGTGGCTTTGGTCCTTTCTGGAGGGTCGTTCCCAGATGATAAAGCTGGGTGACACTTGTTCGGACCCCTGGCCATTGACCTGTGGGGTCCTGCAAGGTTCCCTTCTGTCCCCCATGCTTTTCAACATGTATATGAAACCACTGGGAGAGGTCATCTGGAGTTTTGGAGTTGGGTGCCATCTCTATGCGGATGATGCCCAACTCCACTACTCTTTTCCACCGGAATCCAAGGAAGCCCCTCGGATACTGGACCGGTGCCCTGCTGCTGTGTCGACCTGGATGAGGGCAAACAAGCTGAAGATCAATCCCGACAAGACAGAGGTCCTCCAGGTCAGTCGAATGCCTGACCGGGGTATTGGGTATCAACCTGTGCTGGACGGGGTCACACTCCCCCTGAAGGTGCAGGTCCACACCTTGGGGGTCCTCCTGGACTCAGCGCTGATGCTTGATGCGCAGGTGTCTGCAGTGGCCGGGAGGGCCTTTGCACAATTAAAACTCATGCTCCAGCTGCGACCATACCTCACGAAGCCTGACTTGACCACGGTGGTTCACGCCTTAGTTACCTCTAGACTGGACTATTGCAATGCACGCTATGTGGGGCTGCCCTTGAAGACAGCCCGGAAACTTCAATTAGTCCAATGCTCGGCAGCCAGACTTCTAACCAGGGCGAAGTACAGAGAGCAGTCAACCTTCCTGTTTAAGGAGCTCCACTGGCTGCCATTCATTTTACGGTCCCAATTCAAGGTGCAGGTTATTACCTACAAAGCCCTGAATGGTTTGGGGCCTTTTCCACTGTGCCCCCCCCCCCTTTTTGGATTTTGCTGCCTATGGAGATCAGGCAAGCCCCCACCCTAGCTGGTTTTTAGAAAGACCTAAAAATCTGGCTCTTCCATTGTGCTTTTGGAGAATGACCATTCAACCCATTTGGTTGTCTTAGTCTACAGCTGCCCTCAGAATAAAGCATCTTCCTCCCCCCCCTCTTAAAATGGCTAAATCTCATGGTTCCTCCCTGTTGTGCTCCTTTCCTACAAATGCACTTTTATCCCTATCTCACCCAGGGTTTTAACTTTTTTAACAATTTCCCTCACACATTTGGCCCGCCCTCCGTGTCTGGTTTTAATATGCTGTTTTATATTGTTGATTTTGTTATTTTATATTTTGTTATGATGTATTTTGTTACTGTGTGTTTATTATGTTGTTTTATTTTGGGCTTGGCCTCATGTTAGCCGCACTGAGTCCCCTTTGGGGAGATGGTAGCGGGTTATAAATAAAGTGTATTATAAGTGTATAGGAGCACAAAGTTGTGACAAGGAAGCACAAAGTGAAGAGGCAGAAGCATCATTTTCTTCATACTATACCCATTCCAGATTCTCTCCCTCTCTTGCTCTTTCTCCTTCTCTCTTTTCATGAAGCCAAACATATCAGGAATAAAAATCACACAATAACAATAATACAAAAACTTTATTTGTAACCTGCCCTATCTCTCCTAGGGGACTCATCCAAAGTTTCTCAAAGTAGACAAAAGCTAAACAGACAGCAATCTCCCAAAGTAGGCACAGAGGCTGCTCCCTTGAAGCCCTGAAGCCCTGTACTCTTGCATCTGCACTCCGTCTGGTGCTAGCGCTCCCTCTGGCATGAGCTCTAAACTCAAAATATCTCTCTTATGTCAAAGCAAAACCTGGGCTGAGAGACAGGTCTTAACTCAAAACACTCTTAAGTTGGGGTGCTTTTAAGTAGGGGTTCCACTGGATGTGTTTTTCCTTCCTTATTTGAATGAGAGCTAAAATAAACCTCAGTAAATGTCACAATAGTGCAAGTTGTTTTGCTCTCCTCTACAAGGATTTCTTTTTATCAGATAAAGATCTGGCTTCTTTCCAGTCAAATAGTCCTCTCCAAATATTCCCGTTCTGAAGATATAAGTAGAAATCAAACAAGATTCAACTCTCTCTTTGGAACCAAAGCACTTTTGGAAGATATCAACAGAAAATTAGTAAAGAAGGAAAGAGTTTAGCAGTCCTCAGAACTGACAAGATAACACTGGCCATCCAGTGAAACAGAAATGTTTAATGACAGTCTCCCAAACTAAATAATTCCCCAGGTTATGAAACAGCCTTGAGAATGCCAAGTCTTTCATAATCAGTAATTGTAAAGTAAACTTTCGCAACCATATATATGTGTGAGAGTGTGTGCATATGTTCCCACTATACCTGAACTCTTACTTGTGGCCGTGTCCTAACACACCATTTTCTTTCAGCTGCATACCAGTTCACTCCTTCCCTGAACAGGATGGGTGTGCTTGTGATTTTTGCTGTCGCAATTTGTTGCTTCTCAGGTGAGTCTCTTGTAAAAGGCACCCAGAAAGTTATGGCTGACTAACAGCTACTCTTGAATTTTCTGGAAAGAGCAGCTAGGATGGTCAACCAAGTATGATGGTCAACCAAGTTCTGTTCCTTTTTTAGGATGGAGCTTATCATGAAAAGTTGAGAAAATAAATGCTGGATATCTAGCTTTCTACAGAAGAGTTTCAAATCCTGGGGCCCTTTCCCCTTGATTCTTATTTGTAGCCAAGCAAAACAATGTTATTGCTATAATTTAACACACTGTTGTAAGCTGATGCTCCTGCCCATTGTCCTTATTGCATACAATTGTCCGAAAAAAGAATTATCACATTAATCACAAAAAATAATTAAATTTCATTATGTTTCTAC